GAGTGTTCTATGTATATATGTATTTACACGTATTTCCTGATGGTTACTGCTCTTGTTCCGACACCCCTATGTTCCAACAACCCGCACATACGATTGTGTTACTCCCGGTTAGGGTTAGGGTTAGGAATAGGAATATGTGCAGTCGGAACATAGGGGTGTCGGAACACATGAGCATTGTGTTGCTCACATGTCCGGTTGAATCAGCCATAGAGCAAGGAATCAGCCATGCATTTGCACGAGTAACATGTCTGCGTTTTTTTGGTGGCGCAGAGAAAACTTCAAATTCAATAGTAATTTTCTGGAAATCTACGCGACCGATGCATCATGCCGATAGTTTACACACTGGTTGGAAGTACCTGTGTATTTCCACGCAATTTCCTTATCAAAACATTCCCGCTTCAAAGGCAAACAAGTTGGCCACAATCAGTTGTTTACTATTACATTATGGCGAATAATGGGCAGAACACGACCCGACATGGGTAATGTACAGTACAAACAGCAATTCAAATACGTATTCAATAAACTAAACACAAAATAATTTAGTATGGAATTACAGCACAGGTTGGAAGATGACAGTGTGTGAAACATTATCTGACATGCAGATGTATACTACAGATATAACTGGCGAATCTTCCGCTGCAGGATGTGGTTGATAAATAAAAAAAAAGTCAATAAATAAATAAACATTCAACAATAGTTTAGACAAAACTCACAAAATCCCACCCACACTCGTTATTACTTTCCATTTCAATCATGACCATTTTGGGCGGCAACCTGACGCAGATAAATAAAGCGAATTGTGTTACTATTGCCGCGTTCGGTTCAATTATACATGTCGTCATGATAAATATTTTCTTTGGTGAAGGACAACAGCAACTGACCGCCACTCCTTGTTACCTAGATCATAACTGGACTGATTAATCAAGAACCCGCTTATCACAAATGGTATTGCGTATTTGCGTTGAAAGTATACAAACAAGTAGCGAGGACTGTTGCACCCTCCCCCGTGGATTTTCTTAATAAAAAGTATTTGCAACGTCCAGTGTAGCACAACAATGGGTGTCCATTATAGCGCTCGAATAATCAACGACCAACTCAATATGAATATCGGAAACGGAATAATATGAAACACTGTGCCTGCCCCAAAAAATCAAAATGACGGAATTCGATCGAAGACCGATCTCTAATGCAACTGGAACACATGCTAGTCAGTTTGTGGACGCATCAAAACACAACAACTGGTTTCAACATGCATGTCGGTTCAACTACTGTTCGTTAGACAAAACCTGTCTGCGAGGAGTATGTGACCACATCAAGTGAAGTTGAGCATATACGCTAGAAAACAATACTAATAATAATTTGTTTTTGCATGTTTGTTTCTGGAAAGAGCAGAGGGGAATTCCTTTATTTTATTATTAAATTATAATGCCTTCGTTTGACGGATCAAATCTTGTCCTGTTAAACAATAAATTTGGTTTCATTTATAAACTGAAATAAAGACCAGAATAGGATTAGTTTATCCAGAGTTGGAATAAAAGCAGCTCTGATAAGATTGAAATCAAAACCTCCGCAGAGGAAGAGATCATTGCCACAGAAGGAAGTTGAGCAAGAACTGTTGACTCCAGGGTAACTCCAGGGTCAAAATAGTCATCAAACCACACAACGATTTCCAAATGACAAAAACATCCAAAAATTACACAATTTTGCTATACAATGCTTTATTCACCCTCTGCTTCAACTGATAACAATGTCTTCCTTGTTTACTATATTATTTTACCTTTTTTGTTCAATCATATGGGTAAAACAACAGTACGTCATGCATAGACATTTCTGCATGACAGACTCGCGCTTTCGTCGCGCCCAACTACTTCAAGTCCAGGTAATAACAATCTAGATAAACATGTTAAGTCAGGCAAAACAAAATAAGAGAAGCAGCAAATAACGTGTCCGTTCAAAATGGCCACAAATACATGTACAAGTGGACCGAGGACAAATATTCAGAATTAACTACGCTTAACAATTGATGCGCAGAGACGCATACCCGTTTAGATCATCATGTAACGTCCAGTTCAGTGTATATATGGACATTATAATACAAAGATCGGAAATGCTGTATCAATATCATTGTCATCAAAAACTACAGTGCAAAGACGGCATATTTGACCGCCTTGTGAGAACTTGATCCATACTAAAGAAGTACCACAATCAATTGCATGTAAAAAAAATAGGTTGCATTTTATGGCAATAACGTTTCACACTTTTCTTTTATTGGAAATAGAAAACCTTTGGTGACAAAAAATAAAACTAATATTATAATTGCCTTAGCAGAATTCCAGGCTTCATTTGGCAAATGTCTGCCATGTCAAATCACACAAGAATTCACCCTTGATTCAATGATCTGATACAACATTGACTACAGAAGATGAGTTGAGACACGAAGCCCAAAAGTATTTTTTTACAAGAAAGATAATTTATTATAATGGTTTGCTGACTCTAAATAATGTTCATTTTTTTCATAATATTGTTCAACGAAGGCATATAAGACTGAACCATTGTCGTCTTGGAACATACTTCAAGCAAAAGTACACAACTAGAGGCAATTCGATGATGAAGAGATACTCCAGGATCATTTGGAGTCTGTCAACTACACACCTGACCCGTGGATTGACTTGCGCGCATTTAGTAGATTGTAATGCATGGCTTCTGGTATGGCCTTCAGGGAAATCACGACTTTTTTAAATTTGGAAAAGCAAAAGACGTCTTTGTGACGCGAGGGAATGAGGGATTGACAGAGAGGTGATTGGGAGGCCTGGTGATGATGTATAAACCAGAAATTTCCCCCAACGTGATCCCTGGCTCCGAGTCTAATTTGATATAAATCCAGCAGTTACAATCCGATGCCTTCGGATCTGCTTAAAATAAATGGTCAGTATGTTGTCACGTGTTCAACACATAACACCCCCCAGAAGTTGCCAAAGATGATCGAATAAGATGTTGGCATTATAATTGATGGAATTTGCGGAGTTTGATTCCGTCAGGGTAGGCGTCAGAAAGAAGGCAATGTAAAATTTCAGTTCATTGAAGCAACACTGAAAAACTGCCTCTCCTCGTATTTATAGGAATAATTGTGTCAAAGCTTGCGTGACGTGTTTCCTCACACGATGCATATGCCAGACGGTTGCAGGGACAACTTCAATCACATGTAGGGTTGGTAAACTTGGCCTATACATATCCACCCGCGTCATTGATGCTCTACATCAACTATGGCGACTGGCTTCAAATGCCAAACAATAATACCAATAGACTTGGACTTTTTTTTCTTTCTTTTTTTCTTTTTAAAGAAGATGACTAGGGCCAACAATACAAATTGAGTAATGTCAGCAGTGACACGCAGCGAGTTTGTAATTGTGTACAAAATATTTGTACACAAAGGGAAGCAGGTAGTAGGAAACCCCCCAGGTGGTGTTTGTGAATCAACTCTTGTTTATGGTATTCGAAGAGTCATGTAGCATGTACGCCTGTAAAAAAAAGTTGTGAAGTTCCCATGCTACCTGGGAGCGGGTGATTGTTGTGGACCGTTTCACGAATACAAGTTGTTTTCAGTAAGCCTCATAGAAAGTGGTCAAATAAAGTGAACAAGTGTCTGAAGTGGAAGGGGCTTGTTTTTTGTTTACGTTGCCAAGGCTAGATGAAGTGACACAATTTTAAAAAGGAATTGAAGTTGCTACTGCTTGTCAACCGGGAGCAAAATAATATATATATTTTTGGATATAAATAACCATGCACGTAGGCTAATAAGTGTTGTAATTGTCCGTGTTGAATTCACCGTGTGGTAATGAATGCTAATCCATCAGGGCAACCAAACAACGATTATTTCATCATTTTGTTTTCATATTCCCCAGTGCATTTGGATAAAATATGGCTGGTACATACGGCACACCGACATCTAGATGCATTAACGTTATGCACACAAAACAAGACAAATGCAATTTGCAAATTAAACAAGGATCTTCCGAGCTGCACAGCGTATACATGGT